CTTGGCTATGGAGACAGGCATTCAACAAATGAGTCAACACCCTGAGATATGGAAGGAGGAGGATGAACAATGATTTTAGCGTGACGACTGACCATTGTAGTTATTGTATGTAATTGCTGTTTTAATGTTTTACTGTAATATGAATTATGATGTTTTACTGATTGTCTGTGATATCATGGTTGGAAACCGGTCTGAGTCCCTCAAGAGAGGTGAGAAGGTCGGTATATAAAACTTTTAAATAAATAAATACAATATATTATAATTATTAGCATAGCACAATATTAGTATTATATAGTATAGTGCAATATAGTAATATTTAATACTGATATTGTATAATGCTAATAATATAATATAATATATTGTATGTATATATACCTTGTAAGCCGCTCTGAGCCCCCTTCGGGGTGAGAAGGGAGGCATATAAATGTCGTAAATAAATATATAAATAAATAAAATCCAGTTCAAAGCAGATGATCTGGATTTTATATGGCAGTGTAGAAAGGGTCTCAGTTAACCAGAACTCAAGCAACTGGAACTCTCAGACAACCAGCAAAAAAGTGAAGAATTGATTCTTTAAAAATTAATATATATATAATATATAGTGAAAATGTGTTAAGTTTTATTTGTCTTAATTTGTTTTTAATTGCTGTAATATCAAGTCAAACCAGGGTTAGTGGTACGGTGTATAGTATTAGTCCTATTTTTAATAGTAACTCTCAAACAACCAGAAAATACAGCATGTACTAATCTCCATGAGTGCCAGTTAACTGGGGGCTCTTCCACACAGCCCTATATCCCAGAATATCAAGGCAGAAATCCCACAATATCCGAGTGTGGACTTAGATAACCCAGTTCAATATGGTGGGATTTTCCGCCTTGATATTCTGGGATATAGGGCTGTTTGGAAGGGCCCTTAGGAGCAAAAAGGGAGCTCCTTAGAAGAAAATACAGTCTTCAACTGAAATCCTAAGTATGCTTTCAGTAGCAAAGAGAAAAACAGTACATGCTGCCTTACCGCAATGCTCTTTCAGCAACCACATCCTGATTCTACACAGTAACTCTGAATACAGCATGGGTTCAGATAAACTGCATCCATGAGTACTGAAGAAACTTGCTGATGTGCTTACAGAACCTTGTAAAGCTGCAACTCCCATGATTCCATAACATTGAATCATGGCAGTTAAAGCGATGTCAAATTATGTTATCTCTACACTGTAACTGTAGATAAACCCTCAATTGTAAAGAGACTACCAGCAGAATCTATGAGTCAGAACGTGTCACAACAAATGTTACTCAGCCATATATTTTTCTGTGTCTTTGTTTCTACCACCCATAGAATCACAGAGGTGGAAGAGACCTCATGGGCCATCCAGTCTAACCTCCTGACAAAAAGAAGGAAAAGCACATTCAAAGCACCCCCAACAGATGGCCATCCAGCCTCTGTTTAAAAGCTTCCAAAGAAGGAGCCTCCACTACACTCTGGAGCAGAGAGTTCCACTGCTGAACAGCTTTCACAGTAAGGAACTTCTTCCTAATGTTCAGGTGGAATCTCCTTTCCTGTAGTTTGAAGCCATTGTTCCGCATCCTAGTCTCCAGGGCAGCAGAAAAAAAGCTTGCTCCCTCTTCCCTATGACTTCCTCTCACATATTTATACATGGCCATCATGTCTCCTCTCATTCTTCTCTTCTTCAGGCTAAACATGCTGAGATCTGTATTGGGAACTTACTATATGCAACTGTTGCATAATGATTATTAAGATAGTCAATTTATTTTCGTTACTTCAAAGCCAAATCTAGAAACATTAACAATCACTGCTTAATATGAAGAATGCCTAAATCCAGAATGGGGTTTGTTTGTGTCTTCACTCTTCAAAGGAGCAAGTTATTGCTCTCCTAACATAGCTATGCTTATACAGGCCTTAGAGTTTAGAAGTCACCATTATCTGATTTATGTACTGTATTGTGAAGCAGAAGGGGCACACATTTGAATTGATACATACTCTACAAGCACCAAGGAGCCCGCCCAGACAACCCCTATATCCCAGGATCTGATCTCAGGTTTTCTGCATTAAAATGGATTATATGAGTCCCCACAGCCAGATAATCTGGGATAAGCAGAAAACCTGGGATCAGATCCTGGGATATTGGACCTGTCTGGAAGCGCCCCAAGATATCTCTAAAGCAGAAAGGAAAGAACACTTTTCATCCATATAGGAAGTTCCCAAGTTATGAAGAAGTTAGGTCCTGTAGGTTTATTCTTAAGTTGAACTTGTTTGTTAGTCGGAAGCTTGCCCATACTTGCTAAAGACCTTGTAGCTTTACACACACCAGCCTCCACACTGGAGCATTCTCACACAAGGCTTCTCTCATACCAGGCCTTCCTCATATCGAAATGTCCCTCACACGGAGACATTTTTACTCTTCTCAGAAAAGGGGCCTGAGGCTGTTAGGAATGGTGGGAGTTGAAGTCCAAAACACCTAGAGGGCTGGAGTTTGCCCATACCTGCTAAAGAGCTTGTAGATTTACACACAGCAGCCTCCACACTGGTGCTTTCTCACACAAGGCTTCTCTCATACCAAGCCTACCTTTCAAACACTGAGACATTTTTACTCTTCTCAGAAAAGGAAGGGGTCTGAGGCTGTTAGGAATGGTGGGAGTTGAAGTCCAAAACATCTGGAAGGCTGGAGTTTGCCTGTACTTACTAAAGAGCTTGTAGCTTTACACACAGCAGCCTTCACACTGTTGCTTTCTCACACAAGAGTTCTCTCATACCAGGCCTTCTCATACCAGGTTTTCCTTATACTGAAACCTTTCAAACACTGAGACATTTTTACTCTTTTCAGAAAAGGATGGGGCCTGAGGCTGTTAGGAATGATGGGAGTTGAAGTCCAAAACACCTGGAAAGCTGGAGTTTGCCCATAGTTGCTAAAAAGCTTGTAGCTTTACACATAGCAGCCTCCACACTGGTGTTTTCTCACACAAGGCTTTTCTCATATGAGATCTTCCTCATACTGAGGGAACCTCTCTCAAACCGAGGCATTTTTACTGTTCTCAGAAAAGGAGGGGGCCTGAGGCTGTTAGGAATGGTGGGAGTTGAAGTCCAAAACACCTGGAAAGCTGGAGTTTGCCCATACTTGCTAAAGATCTTGTAGCTTTACACAGGGCAGCCTTCACACTGGCACTTCTTCACACGGGGCTTCTCTCATACCAGGTCTTCCTCATACTGAAACCTTTCAAACACTGAGGCATTTTTACAATTCTCAGAAAAGGAAGGGCCCGAGGCTGTTAGAAATGGTGGGAGTTGAAGTCCAAAACACCTGGAGGGCTGAAGTTGGCCCATACCTGCTAAAGACCTTGTAGCTTTACACACAGCAGCCTTCACACTGGTGCTTTCTCACACAAGAGTTCTCTTATACCAGGCATTCTCATACCAGGTTTTCCTCATATTGAAACTTCTCTCACACTGAAGCATTTTTACTCTTCTCAGAAACAGGGCCTGAGGCTGTTAGGAATGGTGGGAGTTGAAGTCCAAAACACCCGCAGGGCCGTAGTTTGCCTGCACTTGCTAAAGACCTTGTAATCGTACACACAGCAGCCTTCACACTGGTGTTATCTCACACAAGGCTTCTCTCATACCAGGTCTTCCTCATACTGAAACCTTTCAAACACTGAGGCATTTTTACTCTTCTCAGAAAAGGAAGGGGCCTGAGGCTGTTAGGAATGGTGGGAGTTGAAGTCCAAAACATCTGGAAGGCTGGAGTTTGCCCGTACTTGCTAAAGACCTTGAAGCTTTACACAAGGCAGCCTTCACACTGGTGCTTCCTCACACAAGGCTTCTCTCATACTAGGTCTTCCTCATACTATAATAATAATAATAATAATAATAATAATAATAACCAAAAAAACCAACGTTATTTGTACCCCGCTACCACCTCCTGAAGGACTCGTTGCGGCTTACAAGAGGCCGAGCCCAAATACAATAATAAAACAGTAGCAACAACAAACAACAAAATAACTCAAAAAACGAGGCAATAACATTAACAACACCCAATGACGCAATTTAAAACAATGGCCGGGCCAAATGTAATAATTAAAATTATAAAGTGCTGGGCATGGCCAGGTGGGGTGTTTGGAGGGGGATGGGCATGCAGATATCCTGGATCTCTGATAAAGTGGTTGGGACATAATGCTAGGAGTTTCCTTATTCTGGAAAGGCACACTGAGGCATTCCTAACAGCCTCAGGCCCCTTCCTTTTCTGAGAAGAGTAAAAATGCCTCATTGAGAGAGAGGTTTCAGTATGAGGAAGACCTGGTATGAGAAGGTTTGATATGAGGTAAGCCTTGTTAGGAATGGTGGGAGTTGAAGTCCAGCCTTCACACTGGTGCTTTCTCACACAAGAGTTCTCTCATACCAGGCCTTCTCAAACCAGGTTTTCCTCATATTGAAACTTCTCTCACACTGAGGCATTTTTACTCTTCTCAGAAACAGGGCCTGAGGCTGTTAGAAATGGTGGGACCTGGACCAGGAATGGTGGGACCTGGAAGGAGGGTCCCACTTTGCCCGTGCCTGTCCTACAGCAGAGATGCACCTAGGAAGAAGAAGAGGAGGGAGGGTCTAGTTTGGGGCGAGTGGGTGGCCCCTTTTAAAGCCTGGAGGGGGCGTGGCAAGAGGGGGGAAGGAGAGAGGCTGGCTCGGGGGCAAAACCTGGGAAGCAAGCGAGCGCAGGGAGTGAGGGAGTGAGTGCGCTTTCTCTCCTCTTCTCTCCCTCCTCCTCCTCCTCTCTGCCTCTTGACCCGAGCCTGGGAGGGAGGAGAGGCTTCAGCTGAGATCCCTTTTTTTCCTTCCCCTCCTCCCGGGCCAGTGGGGAGAAACTCCAAGGGACAGCCCCAGCCGGAAGCAAGCTCCGCCGATGCGCTCTCGGCGCCACCATGTAACCAGCTGACAACTTTCTCGGCTTGGTTTTGGAGAGGCGGAAGGAAGGCAGGAAGCGCGGACTTCGGCTGGAGGCGGCTCGGGATCGGTGGGCTTGGCCTCCTCCTCGTCGGCTTCAGTGGGCTTCCTCCTGGGCCGCGATGGGGCTGCCTACGCTGGAGTTCAGCGATTCCTACCTGGATAGCCCCGACTTCAGGGAGAGGCTGAAATGTCACGAGGTGGAGCTGGAGAGGACCAACAAGTTCATTAAGGAGCTCATTAAGGACGGCAGCCTGCTCATCGGGGCGCTCCGGAGTGAGTAGGGGAGTCAGTCCGGGTTGGGCTTGGGCTTGGGCTGGGGAGGGAGGGAGAGAGGGAGAGGCTGCTCTTTTGTTTGAATGGACCCGGTGGAAGGGCTCCCCTGCTGGAAGCAGACAAAGTTCTTCCTTCCCTAACAAACATTCCATTGCTTTGCCTTGTTCTGGGACGGGAATCCACTCCAGGCACATGGGAAGCAGTTGGGAAAGTACTTGTGTGTGTACTGCATATAATGTGGTGTCCAACTGGCAAAACAAAGGTGCATCCACACTGTAAACTGGATGCACTTTCGCAACGCTTGATATCACTTAAGCTACTAATACTCCCATGAAACCCCAACTCAAACTCAACATTCCATTCCTTTCGCTTGTTCTGGGGCAGGAATTCAGACACATGCTCTGGGTATGTACCATAAAGATCTAGGTTCTTGTGGGTTTTTTCGGGCTATATGGCCATGTTCTAGAGGCATTTCTCCTGATGTTTCGCCTGCATCTATGGCAAGCATCCTCAGAGGTAGTGAGGTCTGTTGGAACTAGGAAAAAGGGTTTATATATCTGTGGAATGACCAGGGTGAGACAAAGGACTCTTGTCTGCTCTAGAAAAGACTGATAGAGGACTATGTGCAGTAGTGGCAATAGCTGAAATCATAGGATGTGTGATTGCAGATAGAATCATAGAATCAAAGAGTTGGAAGAGACCTCATGGGCCATCCAGTCCAACCCCATTCTGCCAAGAAGCAGGAATATTGGATTCAAAGCACCCAACATTATAGTTGGGTACCAGTCTGGAATATCAGTATGTAAAGCGATCTTGTAGTACCTTGAGACTGAGAATACAAAATTGGCAGTATAAGAATTCCATACAAATACCGACTAGGAGCATGTCCCTGAATTTAAACTACAAATCCCAGGATTCCACAGCACTGAGCTTGGGCAGTTCAAGTGATGTGAAAGTGCATTAATTCTACAATGTAGAGCCACACAAACCAATATTATTATGCTGTCTAGCCATAGCATGTGCCTGAATTCCCAACTGCAAACCCCAGGATTTCATAGCCTTGAGTCATGGCAGTTCATGGCAGAAAGGACAGGGAATTTCATCCACACTCACGATCGTGCCATCACCGCTCACCTAGGGAGTTTTGAAATGGTTGTACAGAAGCTCTCCAAAGCTTTAGGTGCTCTTACTGCCTATTACAGGGAAACCAAGCTGATTCCTAATCCATCTAAAATGCAGAAGTGTGCTTTTCATCTTAAGAACAGACAAGCATATTGAGCTCTGAGGATGACCTGCGAAGGAATCCCACTGGAGCATTGCAGCCCACCAAAATATTTGGTGTCATTCTGGATCATGCTCTGACTTATAAGAAGCACTGCTTGAATATCAAGCAAAAACTGGGTGCTAGAAATAATATCATATAAAAGCTGACTGGCACAACCTGGGGATCACAAACAGACACAGTGAAGACTTCTGCCTCAGCACTTTGCTACTCTGCTGGTGAGTATGCATGCCCAGTGTGGAATACATCTCACTATGTTAAAACTGGATGTGGCTCTTAATGAGACATGCTGCATTATCACAGGATGTCTATGCCCAACACCACTGGAAAAATTATACTGTTTAGCCGGTATTGTACCATCTGACATCTGCCAGCAAGTAGCAGCCAATAATGAAAGGACCAACGCAGTGACATCTTGGGCCTATTCCCTGTTCAGATATCAGCCAGCACGCCAATGCCTTAAATCAAGAAATAGCTTGCTAAGATCTACAGAGATACTCGCAGGAACACCTCAGCAAGCGAGAGACCAAAAGTGGCAGGATAATAACAAATCCATGGCTGTTACCAAATGAGAGACTCCCCCCTGGGCACACAGAAGACTGGGTGACTTGGAAGGAGCTGGATAGACTGTGCTCTGGAACCACGAGATGCAGAGCCAGCCTTAAGAAATGGGGCCACAAAGTGGAGTCCACGACATGCGCGTGTGGAGGAGAGAAAACCACAAACCACCTACTACAATGCTGTCTGAGCCCTACCACATGCATAATGGAGGACCTTCTCACAGCAACACCAGAGGCACTCAAAGTGGCCAGCTACTGGTCAAAGGACATGTAGTATAATGCCAACTTTTTAACTTTGTGTGTGTTTTAAATACATTTTAACTGTACCCTCAATTTGCTTCTGAAACAATAAAGTAGTTTTAGAAGGTGTTTAACCTTCTGTTTCAAAGAATGCAGGTTGCTTCACCAAACTACACATCCCCAGGATTCCTTAGCATTCGGCCATGGCAGTAAAAGTGGTGTCAAACTGCATTCATTCTCCAGTATGCCTTCCTCCCATACTAAAAACTGAACCTAGTCTTAATGGGTGCACTGGTGGTATAAGTGATATATTGTAAAAGCAATATGAAAGTGCATTCATTCCACAGGGTAGATGCAGCCACACAAATACAAATACTATTTATCCTGCTTGCTAGGAGCATGTTGGAGCCCCTGGTGGTGCAGCAGGTTAAACCACTGAGCTGCTGAACTTGCTTATTGAAAGGTCAGCAGTTCAAATCTGGGGAGCAGGGTGAGCTCTCACTGTTTATTCCAGCTTCTGCCTACCTAGCAGTTTGAAAACATGCAAATGTGAGTAGATCAATAGGTACCACTTCGGCGGGAAGGTAACAGCATCCATGCAGTCATGCTGGCCACATGACCTTGGAAGTGTTTATGGACAACTCCAGCTCTTCAGCTTAGAAATGGAGATAAGCACCACATGACTAGACTTAATGTCAAGGGGAAACCTTTTCCTTAGGAGCATGTCCCTGAAGTCCAAACTACAAATGCCAGGATTCTACAGTACTGAGCCAGAGCAGTACGAGTGATGTGAAAGTGCATTAATTCTACAGTGTAGAGATACCAATATTTTTTGTGTTGTCTACCAAAGCATGCGCCTGAACTCCCAACTGCAAAGCCCAGGATTTCATAGCCTTGAGCCATGGCAGTTCAAGTTGTTTCAAAGTGCATTTCATTCCAGTGTGCACATGTACCCATACACACAAATGTTCTTTCTGCTGCATACCCAGAGCATATGTCCGAATTTCTGTTGCAGAATAAGGGAAAGGAATTGAATGTTTAGTTTGAATTAGGGTATTAGTAGTTTAAGTGATAGCAAGTGTTGTGAAAGTGCATTCACTCTACAGCAGTGTTTTACAACCTGGGGGTCGGGACCCCTGGGGGTCATGAGGGGGTGTCAGAGGGGTCACCAAGACCATCAGAAAAAACAGTAATTTCTGTTGGTCATGTGGGTTCTGTGTGGGAAGTTTGGCCCAATTCTATTGTTGGTGGGGTCCAGAATGCAATTTGATTGTAGGTGAACTATAAATCCCAGCAACTACAACTCCCAAATGTCAAGGTCTATTTTCCTCAAACTCCACCAGTGTTCACATTTGGGCATATTGAGTATTTGTGTCAAGTTTTGTCCAGATCCACCATTGCTTGAGTCCACAGTGCTCTTTGGATGTAGGTGAACTACAACTCCAAAACTCAAGGTTAATGCTCACGAAACCCAATAGTTTCTGTTAGTCATGGGAGTTCTGTGTGCCAAGTTTGGTTCAATTCCATCATTGGTGGAGTTCAGAATGCTCTTTGATTGTAGGTGAACTATAAATCCCAGCAACTATAACTCCCAAATGACAAAACCAATACCCCCCAACCCCACCAGTACTCAAATTTGGGCATATTGAGTATAAGTGCCAACTGCAAATCCCTGGATTTCACAGCCTTGAGCCTTGGCAATTCAAGTAGTGGCAAACTCGTGGACAACAAGTTAAACATGAGCCAACAATGTGATGTGGCGGCAAAAAAAGCCAATGGGATTTTGGCCTGCAGCAATAGGAGCATAGTGTCTAGATCTAGGGAAGTAATGCTACCCCTCTATTCTGCTTTGGTTAGACCACACCTGGAATATTGTGTCCAATTCTGGGCACCACAATTCAAGAGAGATATTGACAAGCTGGAATGTGTCCAGAGGAGGGCGACTAAAATGATCAAGGGTCTGGAGAACAAGCCCTATGAGGAGCGGCTTAAAGAGCTGGGCATGTTTAGCCTGAAGAAGAGAAGGCTGAGAGGAGATATGATAGCCATGTATAAATATGTGAGAGGAAGCCACAGGTAGGAGGGAGCAAGCTTGTTTTCTGCTTCCTGGAGACTAGGACGCGGAACAATGGCTTCAAACTACAAGAAAGGAGATTCCATCTGAACATGAGGAAGAACTTCCTGACTGTGAGAGCCGTTCAGCAGTGGAACGCTCTGCCCCGGAGTGTGGTGGAGGCTCCTTCTTTGGAAGCTTTTAAACAGAGGCTGGATGGCCATCTGTCAGGGGTGCTTTGCATACTGATATTCCAGACTGACAGCTATTGTTATTACTATTATCATTATCCTGCCCTTTTCTTGGGACAGACTCAAAGTGGCTTAAAACATCAAAATAGATAGAAAAGTTCCTCTGTGGTTTATATACCTTCCCTGCATTACATACATGGTGCTCAGTGGTAAGGCATATCAAAAGACAGAAAGAATAGGAGCTTACAGTCACAAATAATAACATTATAGTTGGGTACCATATTTGATTGGGTCAGAAGTAGAGTGTGCTGCGTAATTTATAGGTCATGTTCCTTGAAATACCTAGGTTCGGCTTGCAGACGTCATTCCTTTCTCAAAGCAAGAGGATTAATGCTAAATTATAGCTATGGCAAGGGCAAAATGGGACCTTTGCCCTTCCAAGAAAGATTTATGGCCCCCAGTGAAATTGTCCTTTTCGTCCCTCATATGGTAAATGGCGAGGCCTTGAAAATCTAGAACTCATTTACTTAATGTTCACTTTCCCTTGTTAATTTTGCCTGTCTTTTTTTCTTTGCTAACTAAAGTCAATTTCTAAATGGTCAAATGTGATGCTCAAAATTTGGGAAATAAAGGAATTTTTCACTGGGGTCAGAACATTTATTTGAGAAGGCAAG